TGAAAATGAAAACACAACCTACCGGAACCTATGGGACACAGCTAAGGCAGTCCTGAGAGGAAAGTTTATAGCCATGAGTGCATATATTAAAAAGACTGAAAGATCCCAAATCAATGACCTAATGATACATCTCAAACTCCTAGAAAAACAAGAACAAGCAAATCCCAAACAAATAGAAGGAGAGAATAATAAAAATAAGAGCTGAAATCAACGAAATAGAAACCAAAAAACCATACAAAGAATTAATGAAACAAAAAGTTGGTTCTTTGAAAAAATAAACAAGATCGATAGACCCCTGGCAAACCTGACTAAAATGAGGAGAGAAAAAACCCAAATTAGTAGAATCAGGAATGCAAAAGGGGAGATAAAAAAACACAATGGAAGTCCAGGAAATCATCAGAGAATACTTGAAAACCTATATTCAAATAAATTTGAAAAATCTAAAAGAAATGGACAGATTTCTAGATACATATGATCATCCAAACTGAACCAAGAGGAAATTAATCACCTGAATAGATTATAACACAAAATGAAATTGAAGCAGCAATCAAGAGTCTCCCAAAAAGAAAAGTCCAGGACCTGATGGATTCTCTGCTGAATTCTATCAGACCTTTAAAGAAGAACTGATACCAACCCTCCTTAAACTGTTCCATGAAATAGAAAGGGAAGGAAAACTGCCAAACACATTTTATGAAGCCAGTATTACACTTATCCCAAAACCAGGCAAAGACACCCAAAAAGGAAACTATAGGCCAATCTCCTTAATGAACATTGATGCAAAAATCCTCAACAAAATAATGGCAAACAATTCAACAACATCAAAAAGATTATTCACCACACCAAGTAGGCTTCATCCCAGGGATGCAGGGTGGTTCAACATATGAAAATCAATAAACGTAATAAACCACATTAACAGAAGCAAAGACAAAAACCACTTGATCATCTCAATAGATGCAGAAAAAGCCTTTGATAAGATCCAACACCATTTCATGATAAAAGCTCTAAGAAAACTAGGAATAGAAGGAAAGTACCTCAACATTATAAAAGCTATATATGACAAACCTACAGCCAGCATTATACTTAATGGAGAAAAACTGAAACCATTCCCTCTAAAATCAGGAACCAGACAAGGATGCCCACTATCTCCACTCCTATTCAACATAGTACTGGAATTCCTAGCCAGAGCAATTAGGCAAGAAGAAGGAATAAAAGGAATACAAATAGGTAAAGAAACTGTCAAAATATCCCTATTTGCAGATGACATGATCCTATACCTTAAAGACCCAAAAAACTCTACTCAGAAGCTTCTAGACACATCAATAGCTATAGCAAGGTAGCAGGATATAAAATCAACATAGAAAAATCATTAGCATTTCTATACACTAACAATGAGCAAACTGAAAAAGAATGTATGAAAACAATTCCATTTACAATAGCCTCAAAAAAAATCAAATACCTAGGTGTAAACCTAACAAAAGATGTGAAAGACCTCTACAAGGAAAACTATACACTTCTGAAGAAAGAGATTGAGGAAGACTATAGAAAGTGGAGAGATCTCCCATGCTCATGGATTGGTAGAATCAACATAGTAAAAATGTCATACTCCCAAAAGTAATCTACATGTTTAATGCAATTCCCATCAAAATTCCAATGACATTCATTAAAGAGATTGAAAAATCTACTGTAAATTTATATGGAAACACAAGAGGCCACGAATAGCCAAGGCAATACTCAGTCAAAAGAACAATGCAGGAGGTATCACAATACCTGACTTCAAACTATATTACAAAGCAATAACAATAAAAACAGCATGGTACTGGCACAAAAACAGACATGAAGACCAGTGGAACAGAATAGAGGACCCAGATATGAAGCCACACAACTATAACCAACTTGTCTTTGACAAAGGCTAAAAATATACGATGGAGAAATAGCAGCCTCTTCAACAAAAACTGCTGGGAAAACTGGTTAGCAGTCTGCAAAAAACTGAAACTAGATCCATGTATATCACCCTATACCAAGATTAACTCAAAATGGATCAAGGATCTTAATATCAGACCACAAACTCTAAAGTTGATACAGGAAAGAGTAGGAAATACTCTGGAGTTAGTAGGTATAGGTAAGAACTTTCTCAATGGAACCCCAGCAGCACAGCAACTAAGAGATAGCATAGATAAATGGGACCTCATAAAACTAAAAAGCTTCTGTTCATCAAAAGAAATGGTCTCTAAACTAAAGAGAACACCACAGAGTGGGAGAAAATATTTGCCAGTTATACATCAGACAAAGGACTGATAACCAGAATATATAGGGAACTTAAAAAACTAAATTCTCCCAAAAATAATGAACCAATAAAGAAATGGGCAAGTGAACTAAACAGAACTTTCTCAAAAGAAGAAATTCAAATGGCCAAAAAACACATGAAAAAATGCTCACCATCTCTAGCAATAAAGGAAATGCAAATTAAAACCACACTAAGATTCCACCTCACCCTGTTAGAATAGCCATCATCAGCAACACCACAACAACAGGTGTTGGCGAGGATGCGGGGAAAAAGGAACCCTCTTACACTGTTGGTGGGAATGTAAACTAGTACAACCACTCTGGAAAAAAATTTGGAGGCTACTTAAAAAGCTAACATTGATCTACCATTTGATCCAGCAATACCACTCTTGGGGATATACCCAAAAGACGTGACACAGGTTACTCCAGAGGCACCTGCACACCCATGTTTATTGCGGCACTATTCACAATAGCCAAGTTATGGAAACAGCCAAGATGCCCCACTGACGAATGGATTAAGAAAATGTGGTATCTATACACAATGGAATTTTATGCAGCCATGAAGAAGAACGAAATGTTATCATTCGCTGGTAAATGGATGGAATTGGAGAACATCATTCTGAGTGAGGTTAGCCTGGCCCAAAAGACCAAAAATCGTATGTTCTCCCTCATATGTGGACATTAGATCAAGGGCAAACACAACAAGGGATTGGACTTTGAGCACATGATAAAAGCAGAGCACACAAGGGAGGTGAGGATAGGTAAGACACCTAAAAACTAGCTAGCATTTGTTGCCCTTAACGCAGAGAAACTAAAGCAGATACCTTAAAAGCAACTGAGGCCAATAGGAAAAGGGGACCAGGAACTAGAGAAAAGGTTAGAAAAGAATTAACCTAGAAGGTAACACACGCACAGGAAATCAATGTGAGTCAACTCCCTGTATAGCTATCCTTATCTCAACCAGCAAAAACCCTTGTTCCTTCCTATTATTGCTTATACTCTCTCTACAACAAAATTAGAGATAAGGGCAAAATAGTTTTCTGGGTATTGAGGGGTGGGGGGGGGAGAGGGGGGGCAGAGTGGGGTAAGGGAGGGGGTGGAGGAAGGGGGAGAAAGTGACCCAAACATTGTATGCACATATGAATAAAAAAAAAAGGTGTGTAAAAAAAAAAAGGCTAGGGATATAACTCAGAGGTACAGTGCTTGTATGCTTAGCATGGAAAAGCCCTGGGTTAGAATCCCAGTACCGAAAGGAAAACAGGAAGACTATGTAACAGAAAAAAAAAATGTGGCCTAAAGCCTAAAATACTTACTGCATGATCTCTATTAAAAGTAAAATCCCAATCATATGAACTGATACTCTCAGACTTAAAGTTGGATTCCTAATTTTATTCTTCACTATGACCCCTGGTCACAAACACCATAATCTAATGTAGCAAATTATTCACTTTTTGCTGTTGTCCACTACACTTCTCTTTCACAGAACAAGTGCAGGAAATAGTAAATGGACACATTTCACATAAGCTACAACCATAATTCTATCAGTACTTCTGACACAATGAGAAGCTTCATACTTGTATCCTTGTTGAACTATTTTCGAAGCACAACTGGTCGATACTTTCCTTATAGGAACTGACCTGGAAGAATAATCTCTAAAATAAACACCCTTTTCTAAAGAGTTAGAAAAACAGTGACAGAAAGAGGATTATCAATGATGGATTATCAGTGGAGGGCTATCAAGAAAAAGAATGACACCTGTCGAACAGCAGTAGGAAACAAAGTTTCACTTAGCATCCAGCTTATATTCTTTCATTCTATCAATATTTAGAACAGATTTCACAAAAAGATTTGTGTTCTTATCAATAGATTAATAGCTTAGAAAATAATTTTTTGTAAAAAGAAAAACATGTTTTGGAATTGTTTACAACTCAAAATTTTGCTGATTGCTACAATTTTCAAGAGAGGTATAAAGTTTCTGTTTGTTAGGTGAAGAGGAAAACACAGCAAGGAACTTGCAGCACAGAACCTCTGAGTCATACTGTGTCACCACTGTGGTCCCTCCAATAGGCTTCCACAAAATTCTAATTTATTAGTCAAGTTAAATTTATTCTTGAAGAGACAAAGAGGTGTGAACGGACAGAGGAAAGTGCATGGAAGGTTTTGACAGGTAGCACGCACAGATGCCAAGACTGGGTAATGGTTTCACTCAAGTCTTTTCTACCAGTGTGGTAACTCCTTATTTCTCTTCCATCCAGTACCTTCCTGAGTTAATTTTCAAATACCAATGAAAAGTCGAGGGAGAGGTAGCTAAAGCATTAGTCAGCCAACTAACTTGATTCATCATACCCCCAAAGAAAGATTACCAAAATTGTATAAGTAAAGAACATCTACCCCTCCGAAAAGTATGGAAAGGGTAGGCTACCTTCCAGTCTCCTACCCCACTGACATCAGGAAGAAACCTTAGAAGCCAATACCAATTGGTCTGATCTCCTTTCAAGGCATCGCCACCAGGAGCAAGAAAAGCAGGGTGTGTACAGAGAAATCCAAGAGAGGGACAGGGACAAGTTGGAAGAAAGAATAAAGCCACCTTCTCATGTGCTTTAAATGTTGTGAGTGTCCTGTAGGTCAGAATCAGACTTTTTCTAAAGTCAACCATAAATAGTTTCTGAATTAATCTTCTATTTTAAATGGAATGTGCCAGTGCTTCTTCTCATTACTGTGGATGAAAGAGAGTGACTATTTTAGAGAGAAGAGAGAGGAAGGAGGACACATCTCCAGAGAAGACAGACCCTGAAGTGGAAGCACTTACAAATCCTGTTGTGGTGGAAGATGCTGCGTGGCTGGTATGATTTGTTGAAACTCCTCCTTCTGAATCAACTTTATGTAAGACTTCAATTATACCACTCGTTGATTCTACAATTAAGAGAAATAATAAAAATAGTGCTCAGTTTAAAACTGTGGCCAAGAAAGCTGCAGTATGCTACATGACCACTGCTACAAGCTCCCATCATGGCTACTAAGAACTGCATATGGAAGACATGCAGATCAAAGCAGCTACATGTCCTCATGGGCAACAAGGCTCTAACAACATTACAGACTCTACCATGAGCAGACTCTTCCATTAGAGGTGACCACTAGTGGAGAGGCCTCATGTGTACTACCCCCTCTCTTCAGATTGCCTTAAGGGGGTACCTTGAGACAAAACACAGTGACAGAGAATCTGAATTGACTGACTTGGCTCAAACACTGGCTCCTTTATCTTTCCTGAGATTTAGTTCCCTCTTTTATAAAATGAAAACACTGGATTAGGTGCTCTGGAAAGTCAACACTTATAGAAAAGACGTTACTTGTTTTTAAGATGCTCCCTGTATTAGAGGTCTCTTTCACTTACAATTACACAATTGTTTTTTTTTATAATAGTCTTTTTTTATAATAGTCTAATACTTTTGAGGAAGAAATATTTGAGGCAGAAATAAAAGAGAGTTTTCAATGTCTTTTTTCCCTTTTCCTTTCATTCATTTTCATAGAACAAATTTATCCCAGCTATCAAAATATAAAATACAAAAATGCAACGATCTATAACAATTTTGTTGTCATCTTACAGAAAAGACACACTGAAAATTTCAGTGAGTGTACAAGCAGGTAGGAAAATATAGTTAAGAAGAAAAAAATTCAAAGTCATTTTCAGTCAAGTCATTCTTCTGTCAAGCTTTAAGTATAAAATTACTAAAATGAAAATGTTTTTCTATAAAATGGCCCTGACTCATGAGCTTTCTCAGACACTTCTTTTAAAATTCATTACTAAGTTTATATGTGAGTATACTAGAAAAGAATAATGTGAACTTTATTTAGTATCTACTCTTATGGGCCTATCATAGATTAGCAAATAATTTATCAGGCATTTACTAATCCCTTCTATGAGTGCAGCACTATGCTGATGCCAAATGTAAGAGAATTACCTGTATGTACAATTAATATATGCTAACATATAAATAAAAATAAATAAGAATTACATAGTCTGGGGGTATAACTCGGTGGTAGAGTGCTTTCCTAGCATACCTAAGGCCCTAGCACCCCATCCACCATAAAAGAAAGAAAGAAAAGAAAAGAAAGAATTACATGTAAGATCATCTCTGCCTCAAAGGAATTTACCATGTGGTTAAGAAACCAAACGTTCATGAAACAAATCAGCAGAAAGCAGTCACAATTAAATCTTTAAGTGGTAGAAATTAACAGAAACATCAGTGTATCTCAAAATATCTGGGAAGGTTTTGCTGAACACCTAGGTCTTGAGTCTTTCTAAAGAAAGTACTAAAATCATGCAGAGGTGATAAGGAGAAGAAGAGGTATGGTAGAGAAACAGTAGCCTACTGAGTGCTTATGGAAATAGGAGACCTGTGACAGATGATTCAAGTGTCGATGTCACCACTGTCAAGGCAGAAGACAAGTTCATGGATTGGGAGGGAGTGCTTGCTGCCTCTGGCTCCCTGACCAGGGCTACATAGCATGGGACTCTCACCTTGGACGCTCTGAGGCTTGCTGGCATCACTAAAGTCACAGATCTTCTCCCAGTTAGCTTTCACTGCCTCAGGAGTCATTAGCAGATTCCTCTGTCTTACAATGGCTCCAAGGGTCCGCTCCCAGCGCACTGATTAGAAACAAAACTAACACACTGAGCACGTAGGTTAAGAGGGAGACAGAAAGCAAGAAAAAGGAAATGTAAGAGCTTTACTAAACATTTTTAAATGTATTTTTCTAAAGAAATATTTGAAGCTAAAAGGAAAAACTTCTGACTATGCCAGGTGTATAAAAGGCAGAATATCATGGTGAATCTGAAAAGTCAAATTACACAATAATCCTCATGACCACAGGTTACTCAGGTAAGGATTTATAAAATGGTAATTAATAGAATAAACCTTTGCTGGGTAGCAAGTTGATGTCTAGGAGTGACAAAAAGGTTACAGATACCAGTTAACAAAAAATTAATATATTGGGTGGTCACAAATAATTCTCCCTGTCCCTCCTCTGCTTTTCTTCCATTTTCACAAGAAGTCTACTGCTACTTAAGTTTCATTAGGAGAATTTGACATTGTTTTCCTTTTAAAAATCCATAGTAATAGATAACCAGTGGCAGGCAGACCTTTCCTACTTAATCACCAGATACAGCTTTTATTGCTACCTACCTTCCTACTTTAAATGGGTATCACTTTAACACGTGAAGAGAAGGGTCACTAATGGTAAAAATACTGGTGTCTACAGTATGCCCAACAATGTCCTCCTGTGATGGCAACCTTTCATATAACTCAATGACCTATGTGATTAATTTTGATACCAGCAGCCAATTGAAAACAAGTAGAAATACTGGAATCTTTACATTTTTAAAAATGATACAGAGCAACTATTAAATTTGGAGCTCACAAGATTTGAAAGGTAGAACAAAAGAGCACTGAAGCCAAATGAATTGGCTTGAGGGAAAAGAGGACAACTCCCATGGTTCAGATCAGGTGCAATTCCTGTCTTAGGAAGGTGTCCAGTGTGACTCCTCCCTCTCTCCTGACATCTCATGCTTTAGAAAAGAGTTACACGAGAGAAGTGGAGAGCCTGCTTGCTGCGCTATCTAGGATGGATTCTTCCCACCTTTTAAAGTATGTGGAACACCAGAGACACTAGAGAATGAACATCAATGTGAAGACTGTGCTGTCTGAACGAAGAGCCAGTTCTGAAGAGACAGAATATGTGCTGAACAGGCTGACTGCCTACAGGGAGAACAGAGCATCTTGAAAGTGCCACAGGCCAAGGGCTGTGCATTAGCAAGCCTGTTGCTGTGACAAAGTCCACATATGAAAGTGCTACACTGGTCCAGTGACTAGGCATTTGACAAGACCCTTATGAATGAGGTCTACCAGATATGCAGGTCTAAAGACAGGGAAATAACCTATGGCAAACCAAAACCCAATGGAGACTTACATTTTCCAATCCATCCTGCTCCAACCTAGCAAAAAGAAAAGAACAATCATCAATTAACATTAAATAATTAACAGAATTTATTTAACACAGAGACAGCTATCTTAGCAGGAGCATTAGAATACTGGAGGGTTAGATGTTTGCAAAGCCTGTAGCTACATGACTGCAATACTCAGATTACCAGGGCCAAGACCTATGCTGCACAGAGTGGTAGAAATGCACATGATAGCAAAGAGTGACTCTGATGGCAGAAGCCCGACACCAGTCTACGGACCAGCTGGCAAATCACCACCCTTAACCAGAGGGTCCTCACATGTAAAATAAGAGTATTAACAAATATTTTATGTGGTCACCATGAAGTTTAAACAATATAAATAGTACATACTACAGGCTTGAAATAAATGTTCTTCTAGAAAGAACTAAAAACAAATGTCAAAGCCAAAGAGAGCATTTGATATAATGAACTTTATATACTCATTTTAGTAAAACCTGTATATAGTGATAAGGCAAATTACCAAACATTAACTGCCACACAGAAAATTAATTTTTCAGCCACACGCCAGGGGCTCATGCCTGATCCTAGCTACTAGGGAGGTAGAGATCAGGAAGATCATGATTTGAGGCCAGCCCAGGCAAAAAAGTCCATGAGACCTGTCTCAATAGAAACAGCTGGGCGTGGTGGCATGCACCTGTCATCCCAGGTACCATGGCAGGCATAAATAGGAGGACAGTGGTGCAGGCCAGCCTGGGCACAAAGCAAAACCCTATCTCAAAAAACCAGTGCCAAAAGGGCTGGTAGAGACCTCAAGCACTAGAGCACCTACTTAGCAAGTGCAAGGGCCTAAGATCAAAAACCAGTACCAGAAAAAAAAAAATAAATTTTCATTTCTACCAATTTTTAGAGTCATTCAGGAAATCTTGAAGTGGGAAAAATATGTGATATAAAAATAGTCTCTATGTCATGTATTCAACCACCAGACCTACAATGTGCCAGAAAGAACTCCACATGCACCTGACAGAAGAAATGTGTCAGCAGACAGCACACGCTGCAGTGGCTCTAAGCCAGAGGATGATGTCTCATCACCTTGCATCAACCTGGTCAGGCTGGAGGCAGTCAGAGCAGATAAAATCAGCAGTTTTGAAACAGGCAAAGGAGGTATCTGTCACCTTTTACCATGTTTTGGATGAAGTCACAAGCTCTTCTTAGGGTGCTAGAAACAACCACTCAGGCTAAACCATAGAATCTCTCTCTTCAACCCAGGAATAGAAAACTTTGTAAACAAAGAGACAGCTTACTTTCATAGCTTCAGCCAGGATATTGCACACCCCTCTCACTACATGTTATCAATCATGTATGACAAATGTTCCTCACTAAAAGAGTTCACAACATAGTAAAGAAAATAACAACAAAACTTTACCTGTAGCATGACCTAACTAACTGCATGAGTTTGGGGATGTGTACAAAATGCACATCTAAAAATGTGCAAAATGTACATCTAATAAAAGACAGAAATACATGAAGACATGAACAGTAGTTCTTCCTGTACAGTGGTAACATAGGTGATTTAAATTTTCTCCTGTATATGTTCCTCAATATTTGAAAATTTCAGAATAATTATTTTGTACACAATTGTTAATAATGAATGTAATTGTCAAAGATAAGTAATTTTTTAATTCCTTAATTAGATAAAAGGTCAGGCCAAATCTCAAACTCCAGCTATCTTGAAATCATTAAATTTTCCTACTGTGTAAAATGAGGTGTAAAGCTCTCTCCACTGCTAGTTTACATGAGTCACACTCAGTGTGTATGGTTAGGGAGGAGGGGGCACACACTCTGCTTAGATACATACTGAATGATAATCACATTACTTCAAACTCAGTCAGGTTCTTTTGCTACCAGGAAGTATTTTGGTTGCCACACTATCTTCATATATCAGGCTCCTTATTATGATACAGTATCAAAAATGCAGCCAAGAAGGTTCTAATATATGACGTGACATATATATATAACATGTTTAAACAAATCAAAAACAAATGAGTAATCAAAAATATATAGATTGCAGGGCGACAGTGGCTCATGCCTGTAATCCTAACTACTCAGGAGGCAGAGATTAGGAGGATGGAGGTTCAAAGCCAGCCCAGGCAAATAGTTTACAAGACCCTATCTCGAAAATACCTAACACTAAAAAATAGGGCTGGTGGAATGGCTCAATGTGTAGGCCCTTGAGTTCAAGTCCCAGTACTGCAAAAAAAAGATAGATAAATAATAGACTTTAAAAGGTCTAAAAAAACCCTTTTGCATACACTGAACAGTGGATTTTAGTGGATAGTGAGATTATGCATCATTTCTATTTTTACAAAAAATATTTAAAGCTTTCCAACAGGGAAGAATAGAAAAGTTTACTGAAGTCAACATAAATAACGAGTTGTGTTTATTGACCTCTCACACCAGACTAAATTCCTGCTGTTCTGAGAGTTAGAATTGAGCAGAGACTGCTATGCATGAGGCCCTATGCTAAGAGTTTAAAATGATGTTCTAGTTGTCACAACAAACGCCTAGGAAAAACTAAAACTCAGAAAAGTTAATTTATACAATATCCCTGCAAGCCAACAATCAATGGAAAAAGAATTCAAACTCTGACCTAGGTGACTAAACTTCAAGCTCTTCTTTCTATGGTAGTCAGCTTTTTCTTTTTCAAACATTTTTATTAGTATGTAACAGTTATACAGAGGGTTTCATTGTGATGTTTCCATATATACATGTATTACACCCCAATTTGGTTCATCCAAGCTCTTCTTTCTATGGTAGTCAGCTTTTTCTTTTTCAAACATTTTTATTAGTATGTAACAGTTATATAGAGGGTTTCATTGTGATGTTTCCATATATACATGTATTACACCCCAATTTGGTTCATCCCTTCCATTATTCTCCCTCCTACCCCATTTCCCCTCTTGAAGTGACTTCAACAGATTTCAGTGTTCCACATTCATACTTGTATAGAAAGTAATTCACCATATTCACCCTCCTTTACCCTCTTCACTCACCTTCTTCCTCCCACTAGTGCCCTCCTCTTAATACGACCCGTTTTACATTCCTGTCCTTCATTGTTTAAGTGTCTGATTTTCAGTGGGGTTTTTGCCTTGGTGTTTTCCCTATAAATATATTGTGCTTAAATCAGTCTCACCCCCTACACTACTTTTCCTTACTCCTTCTCCCCTATCTTGTATTGTTCATTTTCAGTGTGTTTTGTTGTGTCTTGTTCCTACACAGATGTATTTTAATATCACTCTGTATCATTCTTTTCTTCTTTTCCTCCTCCCTTAGTATCCTCTAACAGTTCCATTTTTGGAAACATGTTCTCACTTATATGTATATATGATAATACTTGTTTTGTATTGTATCTATCTTCCAATTATGAGAGAAAACATGTGGGTTTTGGCTTTTTGAACCTGGCTTACTTCACTTAAGATGAAGTATCCCCAATCCATCTATTTATCTGTGAATGGCAATATTTCATCCTTCTTTGTGGCTGAATAAAATCTCATCATTTGTATGTATCACATTTTCTTAATCCATTCATCAGTTATGGGGCATCTTGGCTATTTCCATAGCTTAGCTATTGTGAATAATGCTTCAATAAATATGGGTATGCAAGTGTCTTTAGTGTAACCTGACTCACATTCCTTCGGGTATATCCCTAGAAGTGGTATTGCTGGATCATATGGCAGTTCTATTTAGTTTGTTGAGGAGCCTCCATGCTGTTTTCCATAGTGGTTGTACTAATTTACATTCCACCAGTAGTGTATTCCACATCCTCATCAGCATTTCTTGTTGTTTGTGTTCATGATGATAGCCCTTCTAACAGGGGTGAGATAGAACATTAATGTCATTTTGATTTGCATTTCCTTTATGGCCAGGGATAGAGAGCATTTTTTATGTGTTTTTTAGTCATGTGGACTTCTTCCTTTGAAATAGCTCTGTTGAGTTCCTGTGCCCATATCTTCACTGGGTCACTGATTTTGGGGAGTTTAGCTGTTTTGAGATCCTTGTAAATCCTAGTATTAATCCCTTGTCAGGTATATAGCTGGTAAAGATTTTTTCCCATTCTGTAGACTGTCTTTTCAATCTGGTGACCATTTCTTTTGATGTGCATGAAGCTTTCAGGTTCATGTAGTCCCATTTGTCAATCCTTTCTCTTAGCTGATGAGCCACTGGAGTTTTATTTAGGAAGTCATTGCCTATGCCTGTATGTCCCACTGTATTCCCTATTATTTCCTACACTAGCTTCAACGTTTCAGGTCTTACATTAAGGTTTTTGATCTACTTTGAATTGATATTTGTACATGGTGAAAGATGTGGATCTAATTTTAGTCATTTACATACCAGATATCCAGTTTTCCCAGCAACATTTGTAGAAGAGGCTGTCTTTTCTCCATCATATATTTTGGACACCTTTGTCAAAAATCAGGTGGGCGTATCTGTGTGTGGATTCATATCTGGGTCTTCTATTCTGCTCCACTGGTCTTTCTAACTGGTTTGATGCCAGTACCATGCTACTTTTATCACTATGGCACTGTAGTATAGTTTGAAGTGGGGTACTGTGATACCTCTTTTAGCTCAGAATTGCCTTGGCTATTCACAGTCTTTTTTTTTTTTTTTTGGTGGTATTGGGGTTTGAACTCAGGGCTTCACAGTCTTTTGTGCTTCCATATGAACTTTAGGGTTGATTTTTCAATCTCTGGGAGGAATGTCCTTGGAGTTTTGATGGGGATTGCACTGAACATGTAGATTGCTTGTAGTAGCATAGGGATTTTCACAATATTGATTCTGCCAATCCATGATCATGGGAGATCTTTCTATCTTCTGATGTCTGTCTACTTCAATTCATTTCATCAGTGGTTTGTAGTTTTCATTCTAGAGCTCTTTCACTTCCTTTGTCAAGTTTATTCCTAGGTGTTTCATTTTATTTCTAACTTCTTAAATCAATGTGACTTTCTATGTTTGATTAAGGCATGTCATATTATTTTTATTTGTGAAGAATATTAAAAATGGAGACCTAAGGGAAAAAGAATTTATAAAGCTGTTCTAAGAAGAAAAAAAATCTGCTGTTATTTTCTCAAAAAGGACACAAGTTCACTAGTCTATACTTGTTCTCTTTATTTTGTTTGAGATAGGGTCTTGTTATGTGGCCCACATTGGCCTTGAACTCAAGATTCTCCTGCCTCTGTATCCTGAGTGCTGGTATCACAAGTCTTTGCTAGCTCAACTCTTGCTTCTTAATAGTAACAAAAACATATTTAAAAATACACAACAATCCAGGTGCAGTGGTACACACCTGTATTTCCAGCATTCAGGAGGCTGCATAAGGAGCAGGCCAGCCTGGACTACAAAGCAAGTCCCAAACCAGGAGAGGCTATACAAAGAGACCCTATCTCAAAAAACAAAACAAAACAACAACATCAAAAAACAGTATGTAATGTCAACTGCTGCAATTTTTACAAATGTAAGCATTTGAAAAACACAAATTTAAGATTATTTTTATATTGCATTACACAAATATTTCATTAGGAGAAAACAAGAAATTTCACAATACCTCAAACAAGCCGCCATTTTCCTCACAACTCTCATGGCAAAGCCAAAGGACCAGGGGTGCCACATAGTCTGGCTTCAGGGCTTCAACAAGATCTGAAATGAATGAAAGAAAATTTACAAACAAAAACATGTATATGTTTTATCAATCATTTTACTTTCTGAAAATTTTGTACTTATAATAGGCAATTCAAAGACTTTTTAAGCACATTATAACTAGTATATATAGGCCTGACACATACAAGGCTTTGAAAACTGTAGGCATCAAACATTCTTTTCAATTATAGATAACATTCTATTCAGGACAAAAGAATTACAGTTGCCTGACCAAGACTGTGAGCCAAACTGTAGATACATGAGAGTCTTGGGTCCCATTCACCCTCAGTTACCTACTTAGTGAGAACAGAGAAAAAACACAAGCATCCTTAACAAGAGAAATGGCAGATAACTGAAACCCATCACATGTAAGAACCACTTTCTCATGCACACCCCTGCAGCAGTTGAGAGCATAAGGCCCCATGATGAACATGAAGACCTGGATTTTCCCCACCATGCAGGAAACTGAGGAACAGGTCACTCAACTCCGCAAACCCTGTCTTCATCAGTATGCTGGAAATTAAAATGCTCTCCCTGCTGTTCCACCAAGTTAAGATACAACCTATCTTATAATACCTTTCATGGTTTATAACACCTTATAATCTTACATAAAAGGTCAAATAAATCAGAATATGATGAGAAACTTAATTGTGACATGACAAAATACAACTTTACACATAATAGTTTTTGCTCACCAGTCTTTGCCTAGGCAGCTCTAATGTTTTTTCTCCTCAAAAACTTTATTATTTTGTTGCTAAAGTAACAGAGATGCACTTACAGTCCAGTAAACTAAATATCATCTCCCAAGTTTTACTCCACAGCCTCTACAAGCTCAAGTGCACAGCAATCCAACTGATGTTACTCTCTGTTCTACATCACACACTAAGGACACGACCAAGGCAGACTCCAACTGTCTCAAAGCACACAGTAAGACAGAGCCTTAGCCTATGTACCATCCATCCCAATATGCAACATTCCTCTAATTTCCCATGTCAATTTGCAAAATGAGGTATTAAAGAATATTTATATATAGGAATTCAGATATGTAAGTTGAATAACCTCATACTAAATGAAAAATAAATACATCTATAAAATCTAACTAAGCAACTCTTAGGTGAGAAAAAAGAAGAAAGGAACATAAGCCACACAGGAAAAATCTTCTGCTTTGTACCTTACTTCACTATTGTCACAAATGTTACAAGAAAATATTCCTGGTTTCCAGTTCATTCTCAAATGCTAGGTTAGCTAGTATCTATTAAACTCAATTTTATAAATAAAAAAAAAAAAGGCTCAAGATGATAAGTAAAATGTCTGAGAAGTCCTACAGCTGGTAGGAGATGAAGTTATATGAAGTCAAAACTAGAACTTGGAAGCTGCACGCTGGTGGCTCATGCCTGTAATCCTAGGTACCCAGGAGGCAAAGATCAGGAGGACCGCAGTTCAAAGCCAGCCCAGGCAAACAGTTCACAAGACCCTATCTTGAAAAACACCCTTCACAAAACAGGGCTGGTACAGTGGCTCAAGGTGTAGGCCCTGAGTTCAAACCCCAGTACTGTCAAGAAAAAAAAAAAAAAAAAAAAAAAAACCACTAGAACTTAGAATTAGTCAACCAGTACCACATATCAAGATATCTAGCACCATACTGAGCCAGGCGCTCTGAAAGATACTTCTGCTATCAGAAATAAAATTATCTTAGGTCTTGTTCAGATAGAGATGGAATCTCCAACCAGAAAGAAATGACAGAAAAAGTCCTTGTGCCTCCCTTCAGGGAAGAGGTAACAGTGCTGGTACTAAATACTTAGAAGCAGGCCAGCATCGAGATGGGGTCCTCCACTGAGCCCCAGCTGCCCTGGAGGACTAAGGCAGACCAAGTTGATTATGCTCCTAGTTGCCTGCTGCAGCAAAGACAAATTCGCTCTGAAGAGAACATGGCTGATTCAAAATAGAACAAAAATGGAAAGAGCGCTTGATTAAAAACCACAGAGTACCCATGACAGAAAGTAACCAGGATTAACTATCAAAAGACATAATAGATAAACTACAACAGAACACAGATGTTGTGATTTAAAACACATTGCATAGAAAAGCTATCTACTGCTTCCGAAAATGAATGTCAGTTCAGATGTAAAAAGTAAATGGCACCAAAAGTAAGTATTTAAGCTCCATGAAGGAGCTATTTTAAAGTAATCCCACCCATCAATTGTGCAATGCCACTTCTAACAACTTATTTTAAACTACCAAGGGGACTTTCCTTCCAGAAATACATAAAGCACAAGAGAGTCAAAAATCATAACTTTATTACACAACTAACTAAGCACATGCTCTCAACCACACACTGAAATTTTTAAATCCATCTTTTCAGAAACATTGGAACACTGGGAACACCTTTAATTTCAAGACTTACTATAAATCTACAGCAATCAAACACCGTCACACTGGCAAAAGGACAAGCATGTATATCCCTAGAACAGAGTGAGAACTGAGAAACAGTAGATCAACCAACTGCATAAAAGGACCAAGGCCAAATGAGGACCAAGGCAAGTTCCTCAACAGAAGACTTCAGACAGTAGAGAAGACGAAGTGCTGAATAACAAAGGATGGTTAGGAACGGTAACAGCAAAATCACCCTGTTTAGATCCTTAGTGGGGTACACCAACTCAAAAACTATCTTTTTAGAAAGTCTGAGCATGAATTTGGTGATGTAACAAAGGCAGTGTGGCTATGATGTCCCCATCTATTAAATCTACTGTATGAGTGGGGTACACCAACTCAAAAACTATCTTTTTAGAAAGTCTGAGCAAGAATTTGGTGATGTAACAAAGGCAATATGGTTATGATGTCCCCATCTATTAAATCTACTGTATGTAATTCATGGTATTCCACAGGCAAAATGCAATAGTAGAGGGGGAAAAAAGAGGTAACAAAACATGAACAAAATTGGCTAATGATTGATTGTCAAAGCTAGATGATTTTCTCTTATGTACACAGGAATGTTACAAAAGAAACGTTTTAAAAAAGAAAGCATAACCACAAAAATATTTAAATTGTGGAGCATAAACAAAGCAAAATATAATGCAACCATAAAAAAATCCTACACAGCATGGGATACTAGTACATGTCTGTAATCCCAGCTACTCAGGAGACAGACACAGGAGATCCTGAGTTCAAGGCCAGCCTGGGAAAAATTAAGAGACCCTGTCTCAAAAACGAAACACAAACAAAAGGGCAGAAGCATGGCTTGAGTGATAGAGTGCTTGCCAAGATGTGCAAGCCCCTGGGTTCATTCCCCAGTACTGTACAAAAAAAAAAATTCTAGATTTTTTTTTAAATGGGAAAATATTAATGATACAGTAAGTAGAAAAAAAAAAAAAAGAAATGATAGACTTCCAGTTTCTGATCCCAGCACTCCAGGAGGCTGAGGTAGAAGGACTGAGAGTTATCATAAGCCAGGCACAGTGGTACACACCTGTGGCCCCAGAAATTGAGGTCAAGATCATTGAAGTCTGAGGTCTGTCCTGGGCCAAAAATGAAGACACTATCTGAAAAATAATAAAAGGGCTGGAGGCATGGCTCAATTGGTAGAGTGCCTGCCTAGTAAGCAACAGGATTTGAGTTCAAAACCCAACAATGACAAAAAGAAAAAAAACAACTTGGAAGTCATTACTTCAATCGTCAAATCGAGAAAAAAGCTGAAAAAACTAAAAATCAACAATTCTCTATAGCTAAACAAGAGAACTGAGGTCATAAGGCAACCAGTACCTGGAAAGATGGCAAAAAGGGAGAATCAGAGAATCACAGCTTACTGGGACAAAGCCTCTAGCTGCTAAGCCAATGAGAACCTGGAAAGGAATTGACAAACTGCCCGAGGTGAGGCAAGTATAGACCAGCTTGAGTATGGGCTCTGGGCCACTCTTGGGACAGTCTACTTCCAGAAGCTCCACCAGATTCTCAGAGATCACAGGAAAATCCCCTCTGCTTTGGAAACACCATTCTGAAACACATCCAGAGCATTGTGCTCTACTTAACAAAGGCCTGGCCTCAAGAGAAACTACTCTCACCCAGGGGAAAAGCAATTGGACACTGGAGCCCCTCTAGCCTTCCTATCTCAGATAAAAGAAAGAGAAGAAAAGGCTAAGAAACTCTTCTGAAGGTCATAACCTAGGACTCTGACCCACTACAAAGTTACTAATAAAAATACAGATCACTTCCCCTCCCAGTCACATCAATGGGAGTGTGATATACTAACAGCAGAGAACAGAGAGAGTTCCAAGACACAAATTCTATTTAATGAAGAGTTTCTAGGAACCTCAAAATAACAGAAGACACAAAAACGAAGCACAGAGGAAACTGAAGCCTCTGACACCTACAGCTGAAACAAACAATAAATACAGCCAGACTCCTAATAGGGCAGGAACACAGAACCTTGCACTGAAGGCATATTTACCTCAGTTCTTATTACCTATTATCATGTTCAGCTTTCAACAAAAAAACAGAAAGTCATGCCAAATAGGCAAGAGAAAAGCATCAGAGCCAGGTTCAAATATGGCAGAGATTTGGCGTTTATTAGACTAATATGCTAAGGGCTCCAATGGAGAAAGAAGACAGCAACAAGAACAGGGTGCTACAAGCAGAGATGGAAACTCTGACACAAAATCAAAGGAAAGTAAGTGAACAAGCCAGATGCAGAAAGACAAACAAACATTGCACATTTTCTCTCATACATGGAAGTGGAAGGGGATGATCCAGGAAGAGGAGAAGGACAGGTGGAAGGTGGAGGGGGACAAGAAAGGGTAATGGGGTGAATGTGAGCATATTCATCACATTCATGCATGAAAATGTTATAATGAAACAAATTATTTTGTACAAGTCATATATACTAATATAAAAAAAAAGAAAATGCTAGAAATGAAAGCTACTGTAACAGAAATGAAGAATCCTAGAACTTGAGGATATGCCTTTCCCAAATTGAAAGGCAAAGAGAAAATGAATGAGAAAACTGG